TGAGGGGAAGAGACTGACCACACAGAATGGGAAGTGCGTTCAGGGTCTGCCATCTGTGTGCCCTGTGTCTCTTATTTCTCACCCCCATTTTTATTCCACGACACTCAAGAACAGCAAGAGCCATATCCCAGTGAGCTGGCAGGGTCCCTACAGTTTTCTATGAGGACAAGGAAAAGACGTGTCATTCACTAATTCAGATGGTGAGTACCTTTTGAGGGCTCAGTACTGGATATCTAGTAGAGAAGAAAATAACTGTATAAACACTTATATAGTAATTACGATGGGCCTTTTAGTTATTGAATCTTCACTGCATTTTACATTTGAGAAACACAGGCCTCAAAGGCAGTCATTGGCAGACCTAGGCTTGTGACACAAAATCACACAAAATCTGTCAAAAATGACAAATGTTCATCGATATAGAAAACAAGCTGGTTATCAGGGGAGAAAGGCAGGGGGAGGGATAGGTTAGGACTTTGGGATTAATAGATACACATTACTATATATAAAAAGATAAACAACAAGGACTTACTGTAGAGTACAGGGAGCTGTATTCAATCTCTTTATTTTTTTCTATTTATTTATTTTTATTGAAGTACAGTCAGTTATAATGTGTCAATTTCTGGTGTACAGCATAATGTCCCAGTCGTGTGTGTGTGTGTGTGTGTGTATATATATATATATATATATACATATATTCATATATATACATATATATATACATACACATATATATACATATATTCATTTTCATATTCTTTTTTATTAAAAGGTTATTATAAGATATTGAGTATAGTTCCCTGTGCTGTGCAGAAGAAATTTTTTTAAATATATTTTATACACAGTGGTTAACATATATTCAATTTCTTATAATGAGCTGTAATGGAAAAGAATCTGAAAAAACATATATATGTATGTATACGTATAACCGAATTGCTTTGCTGTACACTTCAATAAAAAATAAGAATTAAAAAATTAAAATTTAAAAAATGACAAATGTCACAAGGGCCAGGAAGGAGCAGCAGAGGGTGTTATGGGAGAGTGCCAGGGAGGGAGAGGCAGGGGAGGACTCTGAGAAAATGACATTGAAGATGACCTTGGACAGGAGGGTGGCTGGGAGCTGGGGCGAGTCCAGGGAGGCACCTGGCGAAGGGGAGCTGTGTGAGGGCCAAGCAGGCAGGAACGGCGGGTGCTGTTCAAGGAAGGAGCTTAGGGGAGGGCAGTGTGATGTGAGCTTGGGAGCTGGGAGCAGGGCTGGGGAGACGGGAGCCGGACAAACGAAGGAGAGGCTGGAGAGGGAGATGCCAGGTCACGCTGGGCCTTGCAGACCCTTTAACTTCCGCTTTCATGTCAACGGATGTCACCGTAAGAGTTTAGCAGGGCCGTGACATGATTCTCTTTATGTTTTATACTCTTATGGCACGTGATGATTAATGGCGCATTTTTGGCAGAGAATTTGCCCCTTTTAACGGATATCCTCTTCCTCATCTCAGCTGGTTCACTTCCATCACTGATGCCCTGTGGAAAATGCTTTTGCATACAGAAACCGTATTTAAAACTGCTCTTGAATTAAGATGCGTTTTAACATAAATAAATACAATGTATATAAAAAGCAAACTGAGAAGATCTGGACAGGTTACTATGAAATAAAAGAGATACTATTAAGTGCTTCACCTGCATTGTCAACAAAAGTTACAGCGAGCTATCCATGCTCGTTGTAGGTTAGGTACATGTTAAATGACATTAGTGTAGTCAGATATGTAGCCAATATTTGCTGTAAGGAGCACTGAGACAGCCATACACAGTAATGATATTTATGTGACTATAGTGTAAACTACTATGATTATTAATACAGAATAGAACTAACAAGCTGATTCAGGCTTACCACTTCACTCACAGATTAAGTCCAATGAGCTAAAAGGCAAGAAAATGCCAGTATTTTAATGGAATTCACTAAGAAGGATGCCTGTACGGACCAGTAGAACGAACTGCTAAGACTAACAGGTTTGCACTGACAGTGCACGTTTTCTGCAAAAGCCACCACCCAGAAAAGGAACTTAGCTACCTTTAAGGTGCTGGATGTTTGTACCTCATTCACAGAAGCAAGCTGTCCTTTGGAATCAGAAGTAGAAACCATGGCCTACAGCACTGGTTAAAGGCGGGCACTACTGGTCTAACATCACAGAGTCTCTTTCTCGGCAGGGAGAGTGGCAAGAACTCAGCGCTAAGCATCCGGAGCCGCTCACGGTCCAGCAGCGCCCCCTGGAGGACGATGGCAAAACAGCCTCCCGTCAGGCCGCAGGAGGCGGGCGAGGACCCAGCGGTCCTGATGGGCATTTCTGAGAAGGAGGCGGTGAGGCCGGGAAGGACCGCGGCGAGCGCCAGGTGACAGGTTAGACAGCGAGAGAAACGGCGTAATGCACAGGCAGTTAATGACTCCAGCAGCTTTCAGCCGCTGAGAGTGGTCCAGTTAGTAAGGGGAGGTGGCACCTGTGAATTATCTCTTGGTAACAGTCAGGAAAATCCTTCCAGGATTTGAATGTTCATGCCCATCGGGTCGTGTGGAAATATTTCGAATGTGATAATAAAGCACTAAGGCCGTTTTTTTTTAAGGCTACATTACTGAATCTGCCATCTGTCAGATTTGAAAATGCAAATGAAAAGAAACCTCTGAATACAGCCTAGAACGTATGCTCGTGCTTCTGTGGAATCACGGGTGAAAGGCCGCCGTGTTAGTTAATACACCATGGATAAATTTTTGATACAGCCCAATTATCACTGGGCTTCCACCAGATTGTACAGGAGATTGTTCATTCATATTTTAAGGTGACCTAAAAAACACATAATACTCAAAAGATAAGTGGGGAATATTATTAGCCAGATCCCTCTTCTTTTTAATTATGCACAGATGCAATTATTCTGTTAAATGCAATTGGATAAGAGAGGCTCCTGGAGTCCTGGAAATTCTGCAAATGTAAATCAGGAGTGCTGGGGACAACTGTGTGTTCAGCAATAAGAGGCACTGAACAGCCACGAACATTTTCAGGCCCTGGCAAGCAGGTGAAGGGAGGTATACTGGACTCCCTTTTGCCGCAGGATTTCTGTGGGTTTTTGGGTCCCTGCTGATCCCTGCGTCCGGCAGTTGGCTTAGTGCGCCTTGAAAGCAACACGGTATGTCTTCCAGTTTTAGCTTAAAGCCTCTTGTTGAAAATGCAAGTTATTATCAGTTCTAATACTAGATTCATGTAAAAGCTGTTAATAAAACAATACCAGAGCAAGGCTGCCTTTTTCACTTTACCAATCAGGGCAGAAACTGGATTCACAGCTTCAGAACTGAATTGCTTTCACTTAGGCAGTTGTGTAACTGCATGTAAGGTCATAGCCTTTTAACAGCTCTAAGGGCTAGTATCTTACAAAGCACAAGCCTCTGCGTCAGGCACTGTGTTAACCAAACAGATATGGACTCTGCCCTTCGTGGAACCTAGAGGGTAACTTATTAATCTTACAGCAGTCGTTGATTGGATTAATTTATTGCTTGAGTTTGAATCAAAAAAAAAAAGAGTTCAGGATGTTCAAAAAGGATTGGCTTTGGGCAGAAAGTGAGATGGCCACAGGATGAGGCAACGGCAGGATGGGGAGCCTACTTATGGTCACAACCAGGATGGAGCCTTTCTAGGGCAGGGTGTGGTGAGGACCAGCTGGGTCACTGTTGCAGGCCAGGCACCAAGCTCAGCCCCGGCGAGGACTGTCCAGTTTGACCTGCACACTGACGATGAAGTTGATGTTCTTATTTTCCACACCTAACAGTCAGGGAGTCGGAGGCTGAGGTGCCATTCAACCAACTGCCCAATATCACACAACAAAATATACAGTGTCATTGTATATCTTGGTATTTTTTACCCAATAAAAAAGCTAGAAAATGGCCTATTTTGAGAAAGAAATAATTAAAATAAGTAGGGTTTTAATACACAGAAACAGATATTAATAAAACCACAGAGATGCCAGTGATAGGCATTATAATATATTACAATTATATGGACTTGATTGAGTTTTATTGCTCTTACAAACCACCAAGTATTTCCTGCTAACGCACATTCCAGGAAGAAGTCTCCAGGATATTATAATGACTAGACAGAGCCTGAAAGGTGGAACTGTCTGTCAAGAATAGTCTCCTGGTTTTCCAAAAATTAATTATAAAATAAAAAGCTCTTTTAAACTGTCCACAAATCATTCAGCTGAGAGCAAGAAATCAGAAATTCTTCTTTGTGGGAGACAAACGGGGTCAGAGCTGAGCACGGCAGCCAGTGGGCACTCCGCTCACGGAGGCTGCTTGACAAAATGAAAACAAAAACAAAAACAGAAAGGCTCTGCCTCCTTTTGTTCATAATAAAGTGCTGACACAACTTTAATTATAGTGTTATAAACAGTGTTGCTGGACCACGGCTTCACCATATGGGACGGAGTGCCATAAATATGTTATATATTGGTTCTTCAGAAAGGAAAACTTAGAATCCAGTCTTTGTAAGAATCATATTTTTATGAGCCTGCTGAAGAGGAGCTGAATGTTGAATCAAATCACGAATTCTCAAGGCCATCATAATCAGAGGAGGCAAAGTATATATTTGCTCAGGGAAACATCTGTTAGGGACCCTCTCCTGGGTCTCATCAGCGGCTGGCAAGCTTTACTGCTTCAACTGCGCTTCCATTATCAGCCTGTCGGCAGAGTGGTTTACACCGGCCGTCCTTCTATCATTAATTCACTGGTAAAGAAACAGCCTTTTTAACGGCTTTGGTTGATAAAGCTCACAACAAAATTTACATTAAAAATTCACTCACTGCCTTGTATTTTATTAAATTCTATATTCTTGAATTTTATATACATGCAAAAACTCTGAAAAGGATATAAATAGGGAGTTATGAAATGAATGTGCATCAACCATGGTGCTAAAACTTACAACTCAGCTATTTTTGGAATATGAAAGAAGCTGTATCTTTATCTTATAATGCTTTGTTCCCGGTGATCACGCTGTCATTTCTGATACTTAGTGAAATTACTGAACTTGCTACGTTATATGAATAGAAAAATCTTCTTTGGTCCAAACAGAGGCACTTTCCAGCAAAATATACTTTCGTCAGACTATCAAATCAGTAATAGGAAGAAAAGCATTTTTCTGGAAAAAAAGAAGAAAACCAAAAAATCATTTTCTTTGATTCATTTATCTCATAGATGTATATTGCTGGTGGCATAAATAAAAGGTACGGTGAACTTTTGGGGATAGGTTTGACATTAAATGCATATGTGACAAGGATCAAGTTATTTTATTTCTAGATTTCCATTTGGGGGTTCCCGTGTGTCATATAGTCAGTAAAAGGCTGTCTTGATAAACCCATTTATATATTGTTGCATAATGTTTACAGCTGATTTGCAAGTGACTGATTTTAAAAATTCTGGTAAGAACACTCAACATGAGATCTACCCGCTTACATTTTCAAGAGCACAAAACAGTATTGTTACTTGTGGGCACCATATTGCATGGCAGATCTCTGGAATTTATTTTGTAGAGATAAAACTGTATACTCGTAGAACAGCTAAGTCCCCACTTCCGCCACCCCAAGACCCTAGTAACCACCATTCTACTCTCTGCTTCTCTGAGTCTGATTGTCTTAGATCTTGTAGGTCGTGGAATCACACCATCTTTGTCCTTCTATGACTGGCTCATTGCACTTGGCCTCATGTCCTCCAGGCACATCCATGTTGCATATGGCAGGCTTTCCTTCTTTTTCAAGATTATATAATATTCCATTGTTTGAATATACATATTTTCTTTATTCATTCATCTGTTGATGGATATTTAGGTTGTTTCCATCTCTTGGCTGTTGTCAACAATGCTGCAGTGAACATGGAGATGCAGATACCTCTTTGAGATCCTGATTATCAGTTTGAGGATGTGGAGATACTGGAACCCTTGTGCACTTCTGGTAGGAATGTAAAATGACGTGGCCGCTATGGAAGACAATATTGCAGTTCCTCAAAAAAATTACAAATAGAAGTACCACGTGATTGGGCAAGCCCACTTCTGGTAGATATTCAAGGGAATTATTTTTGATATGGTACTTGCCCACACCACATCAACAGGTCATACAATTACTGATATAGAACACGACTGCAGTTTTCTCTGACATGTCCTCTGGTCCAAACATTGTTATAACTTGGCCAACCATAAGCATGGATGAGAGTGAAAGCAGTATTTCCCCTGCGTGTGTGTCAACCTGCAGGTGCCGATGCTGTGATTAAGTTCCAGCCATTGCTTAGGTCATCTGTCTCTGGCCAGCACCTTTCAGACTGCCTGATGACAGTGCAAGCATTGAGGTGTGCCACATTAAGAAATGATGAATCTCTGTCCAGGCAAAGCTCTGCCCTCTGGCTATTATAATGTATCACCATTTTGTTTACAAATGGGTATTCGCTCTGCTAAATGGCAACAGGGTCCATGAGATTTTATAAATAGATGAAACGTTGGCACTGGCTAAATATCAGAACTTACATACTTGAAAGTACAATGGGAAGCCTAGGGAAAATCATCACAGTTACCTGTGAAATAAATGCCTCTGGCAAATTAAAATCATTGCGACTGGCTACTTACGTCACTAGAGATTATTTATTTCAAGTATCATGCTCTTCATAGGATAACTCGATGTTAACTTTCAATTTTCACTCTTAAAAAATGAAGTCTCTGTTCCTACCCAAACACAACTTTACAACATCAGACCTAGTTCTGCTAATTCACACATTTCAGAGGAACCTCTAATCTTTGCTGTTAGATTCATTAAGCCGTTAGGACATTATGGCCATGCTATTTTAGTTCTGGACAAGGGGCTTTTATTTTTGACAGGAAACTTATTTCCTGAGCGCACAATGGAAATGGCATTACCTCCTCGTTTGCTGATTGGTTTATAAGGCGTCTGTGCTTCACTTCCGTGCAATCTTCTTTATTAGTCAAAGGTGGCATTTTACAGATACACAGCAGGAAAGCTGTGCAGTGCTCGCTGTAAGTCCTTTCATTCTATTTTTGACTTATGTGCTTTGTCCCGCATCTGTGTTTACCATGATAGTTACATTAATTCTGGCTCTATTATCATTCTTTATTCAATGAAGATGATAAAACCTCTATTTTTATCAGCAATTTTTTTAAGCCTACAGAGAAGTACTGAAACAATATAATCATCGCACAAGAGGACACCATTAACCTTTATCAAATCTTTAACAATGGGATATATACAGGTTTTTTTTTTTTAAAGAAATAAAAGATCACAGACAGAATGACAGTACTTGATGACCTTTCCCAGTCTGCCTTCCCGCCCTTCATTCATACCCTGTTCATCAGAATGCCTGGCAGTTTCACGTATGCATTTATCCCATTACTGCACTAAGATCAATCAATACACACTATGTAATGTTTTGTATATTTCCAGTCTTTTTTTTTTACGAATAGTATGAGACTGTGAATATCATTATTTAACCTGCCTTTATTTTTCAGTATTCTGTTTTTGAGTTTTCACCATGTTTTCCCTGCCTGAGTCATTTTTAGGTACTGTACATTATGCGCTTTTTAAAATTGAAGTATAGTCAGTTACAACATGTCAATTTCTGGCGTACAGTATAATATTTCAGTCATACACACACATATATATTCATTTTCATATTCTTTTTTATTCTAGGTTACTAGAAGATATTGAATATAGTTCCTTGTGTGATACAGAAGAAATTTGTTTTTTTAAAATATATTTTATAGATAGTAGTTAATATTTGCAAATCTCAAACTCCCAATTTATCCCTTGCCACCCCTGTTCCTCTTGGTAACCAGAAGTCTGTTTACTATGCCTGTGAGGCTGTTCCTGTTTTGTAGATGAGTTCGTTACGCTCTTGATGGAGTACATCACAATTTATTCAATGAGCAGTTAAGAGTCTGTCCACTGTTTCACTATCATAAACATGACTGTCCCACTACATGTCTACGTACCACACGTGCTGGGTTTTTCAAGAAGAGGACCTACTTACAAGTTCGAATGTGCTCTCCTACAGCTTTACCAGGACAGTGCCACGTCCCCCTCCAGGGTATTTGTATAACCTTACACTTTTGGCAGTGTTATAGAAGTTTCCTATTTTCCCACAGCCTTCCTGATGGTTAACATCATCAAACATTTCCAATTTTGTCATTCTGATGGATAGGAAATAATATTTTACTATGTTTTTTTTTCCATTTCCTATGTAGAGATGAACTTGAGTATCTTTCCAGACATTTATTGGACATTTGGATTTGGGTTTGTCATTGGATTTCCTATTCATTTTTTTCTCACGTTTTTGGTTGTTGGCCTACTTTCTAATTGACCAGTATGAGCTCTTGATATATTCTTATCACTAATTCTTGGTCAATTACATGAATTGCAAATAGCCTCTCCCAACTGGCAACTAGTCTTTTCACTTGTATATGGTCTCTAGTTGAAGACTTAAAATTTTAAAGTATTCAAACTGGTCAATCTTCTCTTTCATACTGTGAGCTTTTGAGTGATGTTTAAGAAATCTTTCTCTACCTTGCAGCTACAAAAATATCTACTATGTTTTCTTTCAAAACCTTTACAGAGTAAGTCTCATTCGCTTGGCAGGGACTGCAAGCTATATCCCTAATTTTCTTTTTAATATGTATAATAAAATCTATTCTCACTGTAAGATTTATTGAAACACAAACTCCTCATTTATTTTTAATGCTCCTTCTGTCCTGTATTAATTTGCTAAGTATTCATGGGTCTATTTTTGTCCTCTAAATTCTATGGCATGGGTCTAATTTATACGTTTATACCGAGGCTTGTCATCTGTTAGGACAAGACCCTCTAAGCCATGCAAACCCGTGCGGCATCATTGGTCAAATTAGAAAATGACTGCTCTTCCTCAGGATAGCTTTGGAAACCCTTGTCTTGTTCTTTCTTATTTCTTTTAAACTTATTTTTGTCTCACTGTTCTCCTGTGTGAATTTGGGATAAGGCTGTCAAGTTCTATGAAAAACCCCACTGGAATTTTTCTTGGGATTGACTTGAAGCTAATAATTCATTTAGAGAGAATTATATTTTTATAATATTGTGGCTTTTCAACCATGAGCATGATTTATTTCCTAATGCAAGTCCTTACTAATATTGTTCTGCATGTTGTTATAATTTATGTTAGATTTATTTCTAGTTATTAGAGTTGCACGGAGATTCTGTTTGGTTTTGATATTTGGCCAAAACCAGTTATTTAGTGGGGCTTCAACCTTGGTCCTTAACAGACTAAACAGCTGTAAGCCAACTTCAATATAATTTCTGGCATCCCTGAGCTTGAGTATGATCAATAATTCTGTGATCGCACAGGTTTGTTTCATATTTAAGCAGGGTTACAATGTCAGTACTATAAATAAGACCTGTTATTTTGATTTATTGTGAATATTTGAATATTCATTTACAAATATATGTGAATAGTCTAGAAGTTACTCAGAAAGAATATTCTTATGCTGTTTTGTGATGAAAATCTGTTATTTGGAAATAAAAATGTTTATTTACTGTTGTAAAACCACAATGCTGTACTAACTAAAAATGACTGTAAAATGTTAATACCAGGGAAAAATATTATAAACTTTCAAATGGTTAAATACGTGGGACAATAAATTTGAGGGTTAAATTAGAATTTGAGAATGAAATTAGAATATTAACAGAGAGTATGTCAGCTACTTAAGAAAGAATATTCAATACTTTTTGCACAAACAAATGTTTATACAATTTAAGTAATGCAAAGCAGAATGCTAGAGATTCCATGATAATTCTGATCTTTGTGCAACTGTTCAGCATACAGTATTTGAAAATTTAAATGAAGAGGACTAAGAACTCTAATTTTTAGATACTTAACTTCCTTCAAGGCGTTCTTCTCCTTCAACAACTCTAATTGAAAATGAATGTCCATTTAACGGTGCAGATGTTCTGTGCAGAGGCTGCACAAACAGCCCTGCAGCTAAAATTATGGAGAAATAACAATTCCGGCAGCATGAAATTTAAAAGATAATTCTGACAACAGACTTTAAACCATTCTTAAGGTTCCTGGGAGAAGTGGTACGTACTAAGGCAGAAGCAAGGAAAACAGAGATGA